ACCCTAGGAGTGGGAAGGGAGAAAGGAAGGAGGCATGGTAGGGAAGGATGATGCACAGCATGTTGGTAAGGAGGAGAAGGAGGATGAAGAAGAGCAGAGAGAGAGGAAGAACACCAAAGGGGGAAAGCAATGGATGCAAACAGAAAAAAGGAGACACGGAGAAGACGAGTGAGGTCTTGTTTGTCTAGATGAAAAGTAGTGAGAAGGAAAAGAGCAGCAGAGGAAACTATTTTTATATATGTTTTTTATAGTGCATCCAGTAGCGCTTTAATGGGGAACCATCTTTGCTGGGATTCCAGTAAACACTGGATATTTAGTGGACAATATTTAGTAGAAATACAGAAATAACGAAGCCACTTTTGTAATCACAAGTCTCCAAATAAATATGTGTGATGACCTGAGTAATAGTGCCATATCAGGGAGCAGAAGCTGGAGTAACAAGAAGGCAAAATGATTAAAAAAAAAAGGATATTGGCATGTTCGATTTTAGAATTGCTCCTTCACGACAGACAAGACACATGTTTCCAGTGATGCCACCAAGAGAGACAACGGTAATGACACACAGAGGGAGGTCAACAGAGGAAGGGAAAAATAAATAAATAAAATAAAATATAGAGAACAAGGAACAACAGGTGACAGCCACAGGCAACAAGCACCAAGACAACAGTTAAATAAATGTCCAAGCAGAGCCAACGCCCTCACTGTTTATAGTGTGTAATCTCCAGTATACTACATACAGTCCACAAGACATACAACATAGCATGCCATGTGCGCTGTGGTGTGTTTTTGGTGCTTTTCTTGCATGAATCATTTGCATTTGAAGCTATAAAACGTCATGTTAAGGGACTGGAAAACTGGTTTGCTAGAAACACAAATAAAATTGTATTATTGTGTTATAAAAAAGCCTTTTGATTAAATCTTTCCAGGTGTATAATGTGACAATGAGAGTTTAAATTTAATCATTCTGGGTTCATAGTGTTTGGTTGCCTATTTTTAAGTTTTACAATACAGCACAGCACTGACACAGCAGCTCCTGCAAATGTAATTGAAAAGTGATAATGACCACCATTTGGGTGGAAAGTGGCTAAATGAAGAAGAGATTTTGGAAGACCGTGTGTGTATGCATTTGTGTGTGTGTGTGTGTGTGTGTGTGTGTGTGTGTGTGTGTGTCCTGGCAGGCCGACTCGCTGCAGCAGGTGCCAGAGGAGTGCGTAATAAACACAACTGCTTTGGACAAGCTGGCCTCTCACATCAAATAATGTGTTTTGGCGATGTCCACCTCAGCTGTTCACACGATCAACACTCAGCAGCAGTGAAGGCTCTCAAGAAAACACAACTAATTAATATCACAGTCTCTTGCAGCGAGGCAGGGCCACACCAAAGGAGAAAAGTCTGGTTTGAGTTTTGTTACAGCTCAGTATAGTGTCTGTAAACAAAGATATCAACTCTGAAAATTTAAAGTATTATATTTTAAAATTACATTTCACAAAATAATCTGACAATTTTACCCAAAAAGTAAACTAAATCAGTATTATACACCTTTCTTGTGTATATTCTAACATTTTGAAGCTGCAGTTAATAAAGTTTAGGACTAATGGGGGCAAAAATCTCTAAATACACCTCATTATAAATACAGTATCTTGTCAAATTAGGTTTTGCAAGTCTATACTTGGTCTCATGTGAAAGCATCTCCAAATTTTGTGACCTCTGCATTATATATTTGTGATTGTAGGCTGGCTAAACCCTTTTACAATAGCTAAACACAAACAGTTTTCAAGCCAGAATTATTATAAATCTCATCATTAATTATCTTTCATTTATCTATTTTCATTTACGTTTACTTACAGAGCATGACAAGGGTGCAAATCATGCATTTAATTCTAAGCAAGTGATTACAAATGTATGCAGCATTTTAAAGCTGTACCCTGCATATTTTCCTCGACAAAAGAAGTTGCCAAACATTAAAGAAAATCCGCAAGACACTGTTGACTAAGCTTTAAGCTTCTTGTTAGATTATGAATCACCCCCCTCCTCGCCTGCTCTCCCGCCACCTCCACCAAAATAATCAGGATAATTTCTATTCATTATTACACCTCCATTTATCTGCGAGACGAGACGTAGGGAGGACGGGGTATAACTCTGAGGAATAACAATACCATTAAAAAGCCTGTGCGGCAAATATCAATCATTGTTGCCGTTAATGTCCCTCCAGCCTATTCAGATGGCCTCTCTCTTTTCCTAATGTCCACCCATCTGTGTGTGTGTAAGTGATGCGTGTAAGTGTGCAAGTGTGTGTGGCTGTTATATTCAAAGCCCTTTAATCAACAATCGCTGCATCTGGGCCAGATAATGAATGGCATTGTTTATAACCTCACTCCTGTATCGGGTGATAAATGCATTCGCGCCTAATGCTATCATTTGAATAAGAAATGAGATTGTGCTTTATTTTAATATCGAGGAGAGATTGTGTTAATATAAATTTCTTGGTTAAAGTTGTGATGATGATGGTGATGATGATGATGTTCCATTTTGTCAACCAGCCAAAGGATTAAAGCGCGGCAATAAAAACTGCAAAGATACAAAATGAAGTTATGAAGCAATTGTTTTTGATTCATGGCCTGTGACAATAAGATATAAACAGGAGCGGCTAAAAGCAAAGGGAACTGCAGTCAAGTGGAACGTGGATTTATTGAGTCACAAATTTGCTAAAAAGCAAACAAAATGCTCGGTGAGCATTACTCAAACTGCCAAACAAGTTTCTATAAATCCACTGAAAAGAATTCCTCCATCACTGGCGCTGATGTATGTGCAAAAGCTCTGGTTGTGTTTATTTTCCATTCTGACACATTTACCAAAACTGCCTCGCCATGTAACACAGGATCCTCTGTGCGCTTTACAGTTGTAAAGCGGTGGAGGCAAAGCAAAGCTCAGACATCATCAAAATTACGCAGGAGGTGTTATGAAAATAATATCACGCTCGACTTGGATGAAATATTTTACATGTTGATTGCTAAATGGACTACAAAAGTTCAGTGTCACTCACATTGAACGCATTTAAATGACCACAAATCTGAATTTCTCTGTAGAAAAGCTTCATGAGAATTACCCTCCAGGCTACATCATAATTGATGTTTCAGTGAAACTTCACCAGAGGCCAAACACTAAAATACATTTTGAATATTTATTTAAAAAATGACAGCGAAAACACCCAAAATGTGTTAACATTCACACTGTGTGAGCTGTTTGACAAATACTATATGTATAATTTACAGATATATAACAGCCTAGTGACGGTAGCTACAGTGCAGAAACAGTGCAATATGTTTTTTCACACTGCATCAGTCCACAAACTTTTCAATCATTTCATTACATTTGAGAGGTGACAAACTGTTTTTTGCAATTTCACACCTCTTTGTAAATATAAAAATAGGAACCAAAAAATCTCCCCACCCTGCACAACAGATCCCATATTATGAAGAAAAAGCTCCAGAGCAGACAATTTCCTGGCACTATTTCCTCCATGACATTATCCCACTGGAATAGCAGTGGCGCAGTGTTACAACCCTGCGTGTTGCCACAGTGGAATACAGATAGAGGAACAGCTCGGCGCTCGCCACCCAGGGACTTTAGCTGTCCAAATCTTTGACAGTTTCTTAGCAGCTCCCGGCCCTTAAACTGTGAAAGATTCCAGCGACAGATAGGGAACCCCCACCCCCCAACCCTCCACCACACTCCACACCCACACCCCTGCTCCATATCAGGCAGAATCATTGATAAAGACAGCCATTCAGGGATGACACTGATAGCTGCTCCAAAACCATTCGAAAAGTGATTTGCCTTCCATTTTAGCTGCTGCTGCCCTCTTTATGATGCACACGTGTCCAGGAAGACAACGAGACCGCTTATGCAGGAGGAATTAGTTGAGACCTTAAATGCCCATAAATAGAGATTTAAATTTTCCTCAATTTATATACATGAAATATTAAACGCAATTAATCTTTACTTGAATTTGCTTGAGTGGATCAATTTAAAGTGATTGCATTTTCAAAAATCCACTCTGCTGCAACGTCACGTCAGTTCAGGAGTTTGCAGAAAAGCTTCATTCAACGTTTAAATCATTTGACATAGAGGAGCTGCTGCACATTGTCGGCCAATCAGGGCCCAGTATTGTGAGGACTCAGTCTGCACATTAATTCAATAAATACCCTTTTATTGATATTGAATTTATTTGTAAAGCCTAATGAAAACCATAACTCTCATCCTGTGAAGCACTGAATAATATGGGACCTTTAAAGTCTCAGAGAGGGGATCTTGGAATTAGAACACGTCAGGAAGGAATATCAAAATTTACACACATAATTTAAGGAGAGGTTGAAGACAGATACACACTCTATTGCCATGACATATCTACTAGAGGGTCTGATATCAAAATCTTCAATTATTTACCACAGAGAGCTTTAAGCTGCAGTGAAAAGCTGATAAAAAGTTGAATTAAAGCAGGAAAAGTTGGTGCATTTTAGGCTTATAAGGAGAGACCTAGAATAGGAGCAACCCTGATGATTTTCTTGTGTAACATTGATAATCTAACGGCAGCGGTTTGCAGAGAAACTGGATCTGGACAGACATTTTGAAAGCTGACATATTTCTCTTCTAAACTGCAAAGTGTTTCATGATGGCTTTAATTTACTGCATTTGAAGGCCAACTCCGACATGAGATGGAGACACTGTCTCTGCTCCTCTGTCTCCTTCTGCTCCTGCATCCCTTCACCCCTCCTCTTGCTTCCATCCCCATCTTGGGTCCAAATGAATGACGCCAGCTGGGGTCAGCCGGCTGATGCTGGGCCCTGCTCGGTGGCATTGACAGCTGAATTATCCCACAGGCCTCGGCGGCTGATTATCAGCGGAGAAGTCATCAGGGCGTCCCAGCGTGCCCCCCAACCCTCCAATCCCCAATCTCTCTACCCCCCTTGTCCCCCTGTCACCCCTTGTCAAGAGAGGGACGCCTTCTCCAGGCTCGCCGCCTGGGTCCTCTTGACAGGTAATCTCAACAGTAACAATTACCGCCATTACTGGTGTCATAAACAAGTGGCCGACCCCAAGCCAGGGCAATAACAAAGGCTTTATAATTCACCATGCAAGGCCATATAAATACATGCCAACAGGTAACAAGTAATCTAGCAGAGAGGATGAGGGCCGGCGCTCCCAGACGCTGGGCTGAATCTGTGTTTGTTTGCCACAAAGAGCTGCGTGGGTGAAGGGTGAGGACGCAGCAGCAGATTGAAGCCGAGGCTGCAGACACACATTTGAATATAATCACACCAGGAAACGGGTTTAAGTGCATGAATGCATTTGATTGGGTCCAAGTCACATTTGCTTGATGTTAAAATACTACCAGTGTGCAGTGAAGCAGTTCTGTCAGGCTATTGATGACACCATTTTATCTGAGAATGTTATTGATTTTGAGCATGCTATCGATTTAGCAATAGAGGCCATACTTCACTGTAAATCTTTGATTATCAGAGAGAAAGAGATGACACTCACATGCATCACATAAATATCTTCTTGTCTTGGGATATTGACAGAGGAGCAAAAATCCTAATTGGGAACGAAACAGAGGCATTATAAATTATTATTAATAAAACTAATGTGATTTATAAAAGAGCTGATGTGTTTCAATATTTCACTTTATTATAGATATGTAGCTATAAAAATAAACTGTCGTAAATATGCTTATTTCTTTTTTCCAACTATTTTTAAATCAATTTATTAATATTATTATTATTATTATTATTTTTTAAAAATCACACAATTTGTTTGTTAATAATTTCAGGTTTTTTTTATAATAAAAATGTATGTCTAATAATTCTGTTGTGCCTTACCATTTGAAGTTTGGGCCAGATTGCTTCCTCTCCTCAGCAAAGCAAACAAGGCGTTGTGGCCTGGAGCGCTAAAATAATTTGAGACTCCCTAATGAGGAGAGCTGAGCAGCAATTAACACGTGTCAAAGTCGACATCATCAGGTGCCACTCTCATTTTCTTCCCAGGACTCAATGGATTTTTTTTCCTCTCTTCTTCTCAACCCGTTTCCTCTTGTTTATTCCCACCCGAAGGCGATGGTGGAGAAAAAAGGTTTCTATGTCTGATGCGGTTGGACTGTGGCGCGTTTAACGATCACGAGTTAACGCCATCGAAATTGTCGCGCCGACGTCTCCCCTCATCCTTTATTCGTTTTCCTTCTTCCTTTATTTTGTGTGTGTGTGTGTGGGTGTGTGTTGCAGCGGCAGTCAGATCAGACAGGCCAGTTAACGGTGTGTTATTCCTGCAGGAGCGATGCTCCGAGCAAACAAACAGGCGAGGAGGGGAGAGGAGAGCGCGCGCTGCCGCGACCACGATGATGCTGGTGTCAAATCTGCATGTTTAAAAAATCCCGACAAATTAAATCACTATTTTAGACTAGCAACAAGTCAACTAAATTATTTTAGATTTATTAAAATAATTGTTTTTAAATGTGCCCAACAGGAGTAATAATTATTTTCATTCCTCCTTGTGCAACAGCAAAATTTTGTGCAAAAACTGTGATAACAATTTACATTAACTAAAGAAAAAAGCATAATATAGTAATTATGAAGTAAATATAAATTAGAAAACACTGGAGTATATTTTAAAATAATAACCTACATTTTATTCTCATTTAAATTACTTTTAAAAACAGATTATCCACGAAAAATAAACTGTTTCATCTCCTTTATTAAATTAAAAATAACAAAGATACATAAAATGTTAAGCACGTCACATACTTTAAAAAAATAAGTATATACAGAACAATATTACAAGCCCTCTTGAAAAGACTAAAATAAAAATTAGACTACATTTAGTATGAAATGTGTAAATAACTTGCAATCACAGCTGTCTCATATAACTGTTGACAAATGCATTTTATTACAGAAGTAAAACAGGTCATTTCACTTACATCTTGGCCCATTATGTACACTGCACCCTGATGATTAAACAGCCATGTTGTGAGTTTGAATTTCCAAATGAAGTGTCAAAAGAAGTTACTGTCAAATTACTGTGTTAACAAAAATGACTTCCATAAGCACAATTAAAGGGCACAGTGTGAGCTCTCTGCTGAAGCTCAGATTTTATTTTTACAATAATAATTTTTGACAATTAAAAGTCTGGAAAGTCTGGATGTAAAACACAGATGTGTTTAATCCAAAGATAATTTACCCTACACATGTCAGTGTGCTTACAAAGATGAATAACAGAAAAAACATCTACCTAGCAACAGCAGTCCAGAAACTAATAACAAACAGCATCATGTAGCTAATGTGTTCACCAGTTTTCATCCTTCTCTGCTCTCCTAGAAGCAGCACAGAGGAAAAGAAAGAGAAGAAGAAAAGGAGGAGGAGGTGTTTTTGTTGTCATTCTTCTGACCTGAGCCGCTCATCTTCCTCAGAGCTCAGCGGGAGCTCGGCCGGCGCTCGCCTCGCCTACCCAGGGTCCTTTTGGTGTGTGCATATCATTTGCATACATTTCTCTCCGCTTGACGAGGCCTCGCTCTCATTAAAGCCTCGTCTCACAAATTCCCCCCCAGAATCCTGCTGGTCCTCGCAGCCATGAATCCGTACCTGTGGTGGTGGCGGTGGCCGCTGACGATGGCATGCTGTTGTCCGAGAGCAACGAGATGAGGGTGAGAAGATGGGGGGGGAGCAAAGACGGGGAGAAAGAGAGGAGATGTATAGGAAGAAAGGGCAACAGTTTCTGTGCAGTGAAAACAAAAGAGAGGAAGAAAAAAACTGCAGTCAAGAGAGGGAGAGGATAAATGAGTCCTCTGTGTGCAGTGCAGCACTGTCTCCCTCTCTTTCTCCCCCGCTCTGTGCATGTCTCCCTCTCTCTTTCTGACTCTTGAACCAGGCTCCATTTTGTGTTAAGCAGCTCCCTCTCATGACAGATCTCTGCTGGGGTCAGGGGTCAAAGTTGAGGATAGGGTCAGCTGTAACACAACATGCAGGAGAATTCTGCAAACTCTCTCTTCTCCTCCCAAATTTCTCTTCTATCACTCCGTCCCCCTCGGCCAAACAGCGCTTCACAGGCTCCAGGGTGATGAACTGCTGCATCTTTAAAGCGCGCTTATCGTCAACAAATCCCAGGAAAAGTCCAGAACCAACAATGTGTTACTGGAAGTTCAGGCTGAAAAGATGACTGTGTTAAAAAACACACAAAAAAAGCTGCTGTGTCGGTGAGCATGTTGCTTCAGGTGTGATCCAGGAAGTCCATTTTGATTAATATCCAGGAGTTAGACGGCTTATCTGACGCCAACACACTTCACAAAGATTTATAATAGCTTAAGATCAGACAAGAAGTGTGGAAAGTTATCACAATGACAACCAAGTCAAGGTAAACTGTAAAAATATGGCACCCAAAGGAAGTCTAGGAGTGTGTGCGTGCATGTATTTAATGATGTTGCAACATGCTGTTCAAAAAGGTGAGCGAAGATCTGTTTGACAACCTTGCGTTTTAGTGCATTTCACTAAAATGAATGAAAAGACTGCATTTTTCACACTAGTACCTTTTTATGTGCTCTGCTCCCCTCACTTGGAGCCTTTAAAAAGATTTCAAACTAAGAAAATAGGTCTCTCTGCTTGATTTTAAAGCTCTCATAAATACAAGGGTGGATGAATCGGTTGGTACTTGTCATTGTGCGAGGAAATTTTAATATTTCAGCATGTTACTGTATATGTTCTTTGTTTTCTGATGGCTTTTTTCTGTATGCTTTTTTATGTTGCTGTCTTGGTCAGGTGCCCTTTAAAAGTGATCAATGATCCCAATTGGACTTACTTGGTTAACTATGGTTTAAATCAGTGGTAATCAAATGGTGTGCCGTGAAGCAAACCCAGGTGTGCCGTGGGATTTTGTGATAAAATGATTAACTGGGCCTTTACAAAAAGTTATTAATGAATTTTTAATTGATTGTATCAGTATGTTGTGTGCACACATTCCCTAATAAAGAGGCAAACTCTACCTAAAAAAAATGTAATTTAATTTAAATAAAAAAAAAAAAAAAACTTCAGGGGAACCCATTTGTCGTCGTTCGTCTCATCACATTATCTTACATTATTTCCCCTTTAAATGGATGTGTTATTGGTGTTTTTATGTAATTTTTAAAAGTTTAAAATGAATCCTTGATTGATTTTAGTAATTTATTACATGTTATTTGACATTAGTAAATAAAAGCAAACATTTATGTTGGGATAAGAGTGATAGCACATGTTATAGAAGCTACTGTGTACAGATATAAATACAGGTGTGCCTAGAGATTTTGGCTTGCACTTTGGTGTGTGTTGGGCACAAAAAGTTTGAAAACCACTGGTTTAAATACATAAATTAAATTAAAAACTGTGCTAATGTACTGTAGGTCTAAACACAGTCGATGTACATATTTAGAAACAGTGACAAATATTTAGTTTCAGTTTTAAAAAATGCTTAATGATTTATTAAAACAGCTGGGCATTGTAGTTTTTAGCTAACAATACTGAAACTGGACCAAGTAGTACATGTTGTTATGGACTATTTTCCACTGTGGATGAAAACACATTTTATGATTTTATTTATAACAGCAGGACAGTGTTTATGGAACTGACTTAAAATAAACTACAATGTGTTCATGGTAATGAAGGAACATGTCGCCAAATGCATCGAGTGGCTCATTGATGTGTTTTCAAAAGTTTTTCGACAACACTAGAGGCTTGTGGCACAGAGGAATGTCAGGCCTTAGTGACACTGATGAATAAAAAAAAAACAAAAATGGAAAAATAGCACCAGTATTATGCTTTGAAACTTTGGTACGCACCAGTGAATCAGAAGAGCAGAAGGAGAACTTGATGAAGTCAAAAACACGCCACACCGAAGGAATTCATAGACACGCTGCAGGTATGTAATGCTAGCACAGGCATGGACTCACACACTCACAAAATTAATCAACATGTAGTACAAACATGCGGACAAACCACATCAGTCAAACCTCCACACCACTGAACACAAGTGAAGGACAAAAAAAGGCAGAGAGAGCGAGAGAGGGAAAAAATGATGAAGTCGGACTTGAACATCAAACAATAAACAGTCCATTAAGTCTGTGGGTGGAGGGGTTTTGGGGGGTGGAGGGGGTGGGGGAGATAGCTATTGGGGAGGAGGGGGTGGAGGAGTGATGAGAGTTTATTTAAGGCATGGTGACCCCGTGGCCGAAGGCTGCCTCGGTGCAGGGATGAATAAAACTTTAATGGCTCATAAAACACAGCGACCCCTTCTCCGAGCCCAGCTTCACAGCGTTTATTCCTGCTGGTGCCGGCCAATCAGATTGCTACAATCTCCAAACACAGAAAGAGGAGAAACAGAGGAGAGTTAAAGGGGTAGTTCAACATTTTGGGAAAGTTAGCTTATTAGCTTTCTTTCCAAGAGTGAGTTTAGAAGATCAGTATAGATCTCATGCATTAGGTTTGGGGCTGGAGTCACGACCAGTTAACATGTATTTAAAGTAAAGCGATAAGCACAATTTGAGATTGATCACACTGTCAGTGAGAACAGCTTTGGTTTTACTGTGTACAAGACAAGACTTCCGGAGGCCGTCTGATGTTGTTTGCCAAGAAATAGTTCCAACACATCACTCCCACTACAACTGTGAATTACCAGAGTTTCATGTCCGTTTGTGTTGTGGTTGTGGAGCTGTAGAGGGCAGGTCAGGCTAGGCGTGTCATCCTACGTCACACATAAACACACACACACACACACACACACACACACACACACACACACACATAAGTTTAATAATCTTCCGATATCACTCTTGGAAAGGAAGCTAATGAACATTTTCCCCAAAACTTCTAACAACTCCTTCATAGACTGAATCCCTGTGACACTGGGCTCATAACAACACTCACCTCTGAGTAGAAAACTGGCAGTGATTTGAATCGTGAAGATATGAGAAATCAGCAAAACTTAAACACAGTGGTCTGACCTATCTGACATTTCTGCTGTGCTTATTTTCTTTACGGTTTTTCTTGGCTAGTATCATTGATAAACTTAATCTACTGGCAGAAAAGCTAAGCAATGTAATGTAATTGCTGAGGACGGGGGCTGCAGCAAAAAGTATACTGGCCAC